GAAAGAGAGACTTATCATTCCGTCTGGATATCCGTCTGCGCATCCGGGCGTTCTTTCGCGATAAAGATCGAGAGGATCGCGCGAACTAATGTCATCCGAGACGCGCGGCGAGTTGAGCACCCTCGTAATCGCCGGGTGTCTAGTCGGGCTGCAGTTAGAACTCTCTTACGAGGTTACGTAACACATTTCAATTTAATGCGTTGACCTTGTCTATGCGCGTCTCTCTTCCTATGTCGACGAAGACGGTGGGCGAGAGTGGCGAGCGCGACGGAGCGAGAGGAGGAAGTTTTCGCCGGGCGCGCGCGGGTCCTCCACCGTTCTCTCCCTCTCTCCCCCCTCCCTCCCCTCTCGTCCCTCTTCCTCCCCCGCTATCCGTCCTCTGCATCCCGCTGCCGTCGTTATCGTTGTCGCAGTCGTCCGTTGTCGCACCGCCAGACGGTGCAATGTGCATTTTTACGGACGGCCCAATCAGGCCCGCCGCGCCGGTTACGCGTCGTCGGCCTATCGCGTCGCGAGGAACCGTTCTTTCCCTCTTTTTCGATTCGGGGGTTTCTAGCTTTTACTTTCTTTTTTTTTTAACCCTAAATAAAATTCCAGGTCCAGGGATGAGGCATTAAAATTTTTGAGATGCGTCGATAGAGCTCTCTCTCTCTCTCTTTCTCTTTCTTTCCATCTCCATCTCTCTTTCTCTCTCTCTCTCTCTCTCTTCCCGTTTCCTTATCTAATTTTTAACGCTAATGGTCTACACGGCCGGCTATGCTCCAGTGAATTTCATTATCGCGACACTCGGCCCACGGGAGAGGCGAGGAGGATCCGCCGCGCCGGTTCGCATGATGCAACGGCCTCCAGACTTGTCCAGGTCCTTCCCTTTCCCAGACGACGGACAGACGTGGCACGTACGCAACGAAGCGGCGCGAAATGCGTGACTTGGCCGCGGCTAGATTAACGAGCGCATGCCTAGAATCGAAGATCGGTGGGTTCGGTATATACCGTATAGACCGTGATTTCGCAGAACAGAGTCGTAACTTCTCTCCGGCTGGCCTGCCTTTCTCGAGAAAACCCGGGCCTATGTCTGGATTAACTCTCGGACCCTCGGATAAAATGTTACGTCGCGGCACCACCTATGCTCTAAAAGAAACGAGCGATTATGATCTAAGATTAAGATGAAGAATGGGTTTCGTCCGTTCCGCTTGTCATTTACGAGTCTACTCCGAGGATACCGTTCCCGGGACCTTCGCATTTTATAGGCTCCTTTCCAGACGGCGGAAAAAAGTCGGGGCACAGTTCTGTAGATTTCAGGTAGTACGAAGAAAGATTTTGTTATTTTTTTGCATTTGTCGCCCGCGTTCGTCGGATTTGTTTTCCATTTCCTCCCCTCTTTGTACATTCTTTTCCCTCCTCGCTTTCTACATCTTCTTATCTTCTTCTCTTTTCTATCATTCAGGGAAATATACATTCTTCTGCTTGACGCTCGGGCAAGTCAACGAGGTCGTTGACGTGGGGACTGCGCTGAAATCTCCCGAGTGGGCGTCTCTCAAACACGGCGATCCTTGTCGATGACGTAGAGAAATGACGCTCATCCTTTTTTTCCCATCGCTTCTTTTCTTTTCTATCTTCCGCCGGATGATTGATTAATGACTTGTCGAAAATTTATTATGCAATCCCGCACGATCGTCCGATATCGTCGTCGTTCGTTTTTCGATAAGGTCGCGCTTGTTAATGAAAGCCACGTGAGTCGCCTGAAGCGGGCGCGCGCGTGCGAATAAACAACTTCTTATCCCAGTATCCGGACGAGGAAGCATGAAACCGTCGATTTTGCGTCGTAATCATACGAGGTCTGGAGATTGTACTTTTCACCGTACGCGAAAATTGACACGTCGTGTTCGGGAAAGGCATGAAATTCGAGTCACGCGAACCCCACGGCCAATGTCCAGAAAAAATTCGCCAAAGCGGGATGCAAAGATAGGACGATGCAAATGAGGCCTGAAAGAGAGAGAAAGAGAGAGAGAGAGAGAGAGAGAGAGAGAGGCTGCGGGAGATCGGATTTTAACATTCGAGACGCGGCCTGAAAAAGTCGAGGTCCCTCCGAGACCAGACACGGCAAACTCGAGGTGATTGGGGTGCCGGTGTATCCGCCGACTGTCTAGCCACTGTCTGCAACGTGTAATAAATGCCTCCGCGAGCCGTACCGTGTGCCTCTGTAGGTCACTGACCATCGTCCGTTGGCCCGCGTCGGCACCCGGAAGAGAGCTCGCCTCGGAACCTGAGGTGAAAATTCTCGAGCCCGCGCAGCCGCGCTAGGTTTATGAAACGATATTTATTGCCTTTTCTGGATAATCTTCTGCCAAAAGTGTCCTATCCGTGGCTCGGAATTCTTGGGGAAATTCGCTTCAAATACTTAGGACATTTTACATGCTTTCGCAATATCGTCTCTAAGACGTCTTGAGCTGTTTCAGGTTGAACGAGCTATTTTCTAGGTCAGATCTCTCGAAATAGTTGTGAGCTAAATTTCTACTTTATTGTTTCACGAACTTTGAAACGTCTTGACACAAATTTTTGAACTCCTTTCGTTGTATTATTTCGGGAACGATTCTTTATATAACGTTGTGTTCGACATACTAAAATATAATTTTACTATATTACCTTTAAGTAACTTTACTAACACGCGGTTTTGCTATGAAATTGATGTTGTGCTTTTGCGCGTTATCACTCACCGTTTTATCTAAGACGCTCCGTGTAGTCTAATAAGCTTTGATTCTCCTTTTGTGCAGTCAGGGTCAGAAAGCCTTGGAAAATATCAAGACGATAGTCCTCGGGATAACTGGCAGACGCAACAACAATAGCACCAACACCAATCAGATTCAGCGCGAGAGGCTCACCATGTTCTCGTCTACTTGTTAGTAGTTTAATAATTCGTTTAGAATATTACTAGCTTATTGGGCGAAATTTGTGACCTTTTTTATTATACAGGCCAGATACCTCGAAACACGGACGCCGAGGCTTGGACAGATCCGTTCTCGATGAACATACATTTTCAATTGAATCTGACTTCCGGTGATCATGTTGTCGCGGCGAAATTGCGAATTTATAAATTACCGCAGGAGAATCTCACGACTTACGCGAGCGGGAGTTTCGACGAGGACGAGGATGACGAGAAGAAGATTAGGATATCCGTTTATTATTACACGAAGTCGCTGAAAAGGCATCGATGTGAGTGTTCAATCAGATTACTGAATTTACGTGCGACTACTTGAGGAATATAGAGAGCTACAATTTCTCCCCCGTATGTGTATATATATATATAGCGAAGAAACGACTGATGGACTCCATCGTGACGCCCCTGACGAGCTACGGCAAACAGCTGGTGCTGGATGTCAGGCAAGGCGTGAGATTCTGGCGACTGATCCCGCGAAGTTCTCCACACGGCAACGGTAACAATCACGGTTTGGTGATTCAGATAGAGGATCAAGACGGCCGGGCGCTGAAACCGGCTCTGTATATCCAGCAGCCGTCCTGCGCGGACCACGATTCGAATCAGAAGGCATGTGAGTGTGTGCTCTAACAATACTAACTTACATTTGAGTCTTGGATTGATGCGCCTTGGCATATCTCATTGCGTGAAACTAAACAACGCGTGTGGCATGAAACGAAGAAGAAATAGTATGTTGATGCTCTGCACACAGATATACAGGGTGTTCTAAAACTACCGTATCTCCTCTTAACGGCAGATTCCTTAGAACATTTCAAGACAAAAAGCCTAATACAAAAATGTCGAGACTATAATAATTTTTGAATGGGAAGCGATTATATTTTACGAATGACAGGGCTGAAATTTTCTCAGGCATGGTTAAATGACAAGTGAAAAACGTGCTTCTATAAATGGAGCGCCTTTTTTATAATATTATGATTATCGTATAAATTTACAATAGTATTGTCATTATATGTTTTTCCTCTTCTCTACGCATTGCATTAGTACATTCTTTTTACGAATGATGTATGCAGGAACTAATCTTAAAAATGATTCAAGTAAAAATTTGCGACACGTTTCAACTTTAGCTGTCAAAGTGGTCGATCAATGTTATCATGAAGATGTCTACTATTTCGCCGTGTTCGAGCGCGCGAAATCTCAGCCCTGTCATTCGTAAAATATAATCGCTTCCCGTTTAAAAACTATTATAGCCTCGACATTTTTGTATTAGGATTT